GCATGTACAAGAACTTAAATATTTTAAATTTTTTGCCTAAGTATTGAAGTTACTAAGTCTATTAGTTGAAAGTACGATTCATAAAAATTCGCACATAGAAAATTTTTTCACATTTTGTCAAAAGCTTGTACTCAACTTACTAAGGTTGTACACATGATATCTAAAGCAATATAACGCAAGATATTTTTTATATGTGCATAGCACGAAGTTCTTGCAAGATTCATAAAGTTTAAATAAAGACTGACTGTCCCACGGCAGCCAGCAAAAGCCACAACATAAACATATTGTTCAAGGTACTTAGAATGCAAGACATAAACCTGATCGTCCCACGACAATCAGTAAAGAGTACATGAAAACCGAAACAGTTCAAGACAAAAGAAGATTCAACAGTTCAACAAAAGACAGAGATAACAATAGTCAAGCATCAACAACATTAACTCCATCACCAATAGAAGCATCAACGCCATCAGCGACTTCAACAGCAATCTCGACAATAGCGTCTACGATCTTAGCACCAGGAGCTGCGTCATCGACCTTCTCTTGTGAATCTGCTGTGGAGTTGGCATCCTCTTCAAGAGCCTCGACATCAAAAGCCAAATCAGCCTCAGTGCCAAGAGATGCCAGAAAGATGTCCACCTCCTTCTGAGCATCCTCAGTGGTCAGACGACCGTCAAGGAAACGCTTCAACAGTTTGGCACGAGCAATCAATTGGTCAAGGCACTTAGAATTCTGCGCATCTTCACGAACTTTAGCCAAGGATGCCTCTAGTTCAGAGACCTGCTTGCCCTTCTCCTCCAGCGAAGCATTCAGCCTAGGAACCTGCTTCCCTTTCTCTCCTAAAGACTTCTTCAGCTTGGCCACCTCCCCTTCGGCAGTGCGAAGTTGACTCTTGATAGTACCAACAGTAGCGCGAAGTCCGTTCACCTTTTTCTCACTAGAGATGAAGTGTCCACGTACAACCAACAAATCTTGCAAAGCCTGCAAAGTAGAGGTAATCAAGAAATCGCGCGACAAAGTATCAGATAGTTAAAAATCAACAGCACAAAGAAGGAAGAGCTCACATTAAGTTGGAGCGACACTGCCTCGCTAACAATGCTAGCAGGTGTCATCTTCTCCAACCGCCTCTCCGTACCAAGAAACAACAACTTCTTAGCAGTAGGCCAAAGGGAAGACGACATCGAGGCACCCGAAAGAGGCACCTTCAGCATGTAATCGACATCTTTATTGGCTTTCGGTGGAATCTCCTTACCACAAGGAGAGCTGCGCATCTGAAGAGGCTTAACATCCAGCACCCTAACCTCTTCTCCATCAGAAGCAGTTTGTTTCTTCTTCTTGGACGCGTGTTCCACCATTTCCTCGTAAGACATCAACGTCCTCTTAGTTTTTCCAGATAGTGTTTCTGAAACACAACACGCGTCAAGAGAACTCGAGCCACAAAATAACATAGCAAAAATAGAGAAAGCGAAGCAAGATCAACCTACCAGATGCCATCTCCTGGTCGCTGCCTTCCTCTTCTTCGACCTCTTCAACAATGGCGGGACGCATAAAGGTTCTTTCCTCCTTAGTGATGCTTAAGATAGCTTCTACCTTGCGTAGACTCTTCTTCCCAGGGGTTACAACAACAACGTCAATCTCTGCACCAAAACAAGCCATAAGAACACACGTCAAAAAACTAAAGTAAAGAAGTGACGAGAGATATGAAAAATACCTCCGTCGCGCCATCCGCAGTAAATCCAGCTTGCTTGTTCACCCAACGACTCCCTATCAACAAACAAGTAGCGCGACTTCCAGCCGTGATCATTCACTTTTCCAGCCCTCTTAACCAGAGCAGGATGCCCTCTTTTCAGCACTAAGGTACATCTGTTTTGTTTAGTAATTTGCAATTTATATGCGTGGACTAAGTCTGACAGGTTAAAAGGCTCCTCCCAGTCCCTAGTCACCTTTTTTATGACATGAGCCACCCTCCAAAATTTGGATATCACTTGCTCTAGGCTCAGGTCGAGGACCTCCATTAAAGATCGTGATAAAGGGGTAAATAGATAAGTGTACCCTAACCTAACAAGATACTCATACAACACCAGGTGCCCCGACGGATAATCTTCAGGCCTCTCCTCCTCGGTAGGGATGTGCACCACCGCACTCCCATGCATCCCAGCTAAAGCGACGAAAGAGGCCACATCCTCCTCCACGAAGTCACTCGAAGGGTCATCATTGTCAGCCATATCTCCTACAAACTTACTTTCCCCTCTTTCCAAAACCCTACACGAAAACCTAGTTCTTTGAGGCAAATTCGACTTGCTAGACATAAGCTAACTACAAATTGAAAAGAAATTGAAAGTAAGAATAAGAATTACCTGAAGAAATTGCCGAAAATAAGCAAATCACACCCAAAGCTTGAAGCACCAGAAGAATTTGAGAAATTAATTTGGGGATTTTTAGAGAGAGAAAGTACGAAAATTAGGGAAGAGCGTAGGAGTGAACTAAAAAGTTGCACGGTTATTTATGCAGCAATTTAATGGGAAGTTATTGCGGTTTTGTTCAAAAAGTAATGGGGGTAATCGACAATTGAGATTGTTCCCTCGAGTTGCCCACGTTCGACACAATAATTAGGGGCAAATTGTTATGCTCAATTTCTAGGTACGTCCTGATGTATGACCTGTCGCACGACGACGAGAGACGACGGACGGCCACGTAACTAATTCAGCGAAAGATATGGGATTGACCAAAGCCCACGATAACGCTACAACTATTTCCCAACAATACATTTAGTGAAAATAATTCAAATCCAATCCAGCAAGATTCTCAACAAAGGGATGAGTCCAAGACTTAGTCTAGCAACGACTGTCCTACATTATAGGGAAGTTGTAGGGAAGTTGTTAGCAGTCTCTAACGGCATTATTAGCTAGGGTTAGGCATCTTAGCTGATATTATAAATAGCATAGTCATTGTATTCAGTAGACACAATTTTTTTACGCACTCTACTCTCATCTTAAAGCTCTCATACTCATTGTATCCAAAGTTATTTATAGTGAAACGGTGGTCTTGCACCCATCTGCAGTTTTTCCCACATTTGAGTTTTCTGCGTCATCAAAGTATCATGTTCCTTTATTGTTTTTATCTTGAGTTTATTCGTTTTCTATAGCCAATCCTCTAGCCATCGAACGTCCCAGCCTTAAGTCGCCCTTAGGCGAAATTTGGCATAAACAATATACATATCCAAATTATTATAATTACTTAGTAATTATCATCTTTGGCTGTGAACCGCATAGTGATTGCCAAAGGGATCGAAGATTCAATTCATGGCTATTCAGCTTTCAATGCCGCCTTGAACTAAAGAGATGGGCCTTCACTCAATTGCAACTCGGCCTCCAACCTCGACCCTGTAGTTGCCATATGAATCTAGGAATGAGGGTCGACACTCATAGGGAGCTCGGCATGCTTTCATGCATTCTTGCCAAGCTACTACTCTCATAGGAGTCACCTCGATAGTTTTACTCGGCACCATGTGTCCGTTTGACCAGCTTGTCGTCTGCCATGCTCACGAGATTATTGTCGAGCTGATATGCTCTTGAGGGTGAGCTTCGATAATTCACTAGGCATAATGAGCTCGGCATTCTTGACGGCCGAGTATATAGTACATATATTCATGCTCTTCCTTTGATGGCATTAAGAGTGGTATTGATTTGGGGCCAAACCCTCAAACAGTTCTACCTTTCACGCCTTGGTTTAAGTGTAGAACTTCGAGTGAAGTACGGACTCCGGGGAGTGCTTAAGGGATGTATTGTTAGAGAATAGGGAAGGCTAGTGTTTAGGCTAGAGCATAAGAGAGAGAGAAGAGAGAATGATTTGGTGCCTAAGAGATGAAGAGAGGAAGAGAGGATTATTTAGTGCCCCGAAACCGGTGAAATCAGCTTCGTATTTATAGAAAAAAATACAAGGGGTGAGGTACGGAACCCTAGAATTGAAGGCGCCGCGAAACAAGACCCTAGAAAATTGTCGTGGCGCGGCAGAAATTGTCGTGGCGCGGCAAATGTTGCCGTGTCGCGGCATTTGTGTTTTCTGGAATTTCGTCCAGGTTCATTTTTATCTTTTATTTTTCATTAAATACGGGATATTTTAGGCACCGTTTCAGGGCTCCGGACTTATTTTAGGTTTAGGGTTTTAATATTTATTAATCGGGCTTAATTAATAAATAAAACGAAATGAATTAAAATGGTTTGGGTTGAAATATGGGTTGGACTGTGTTTCACTACATGTTTGGACTGAATATGGGTTTTAAGCACTCCCGAGATTAAATACTCGACCCAACAATAGTGGCGGTGAAAGGTTGATTATCATTGAGTTTAATTTTGGGAAGACATTTTTAGATGTCTACACCAGTGAGTACGACCCCATATGTTTCTAATATAAGACAGTCATATAACCAAAGAATCATACCACTAAATGTAGTCTCAAAACTAATGGGGCAATGTTTGATGCATGCAAGCATTAGCACACCGCAGAAGAAGCTATGCGAAGAGGCAACTAACAAATACATTTCAGAACAATTGAAATCAATATATGCTCAGAAGAATGAAATGATCCCAAATATTAAACACACATACGTGTCTGTTTGTGCCATTTTATTTACTCTTCTAGTCCAATTCCACATCTGCCCAAGTTTCCATTACGGATCTGCACCAGCAAGCACATCTAGCCCCTTCACCTGTTAATGCAACTGCCTCAAGTAACTCATCAATGTGCACAAGAAATATGAAATACATGATGAATATGTACTGCAAAGGGATCTTTATTCAAAGAGTCAAGCATCTATAGCTGTTGTGCCTTGAAATCTACTACTAAACACCACCAATGTTCCCCCATCCTTATCCGAAACTTTGAGGACCGGCATGAATACCTACAAATCACATTTTGGCTTAAAACTAATACAATTGACTATCAACCAATAAATTAAACCAACTACTTGGGTAAGTATTCCTCACAACGCGTATTTGGTTGAGCGAGAAGGAAAGGAAAACCGTCCCATACGTCCAAGCTAAGTCCTCATACTCGTTTTGCTTGAGCATTAACATCGTCTACAACACAAAATAACCAAAACAAAGAAGACAACGTACACAATTTCATAATTTTAAACCACCAATTCACCCAGACAAAAAGGGATAAAATCTGCAAATGCACAGAAATACATAGAACATCCTAACCGCATAATTGGGTTCCAACATAATCTGTTTGTCTAGTAGTGAAAATTTTGTTTCATTCCATTATGTTGTGTACAACACAGATGCCATGCGAACATATTGATCGCCAAGCCGGGCTCTCCCAACAATGAGCTGATAACAATGTCTTTAGGTAGCATCCATATTTTGGCACTCAATCAGTGACGACCTCGGACAACAAACATACCATAAGTTTAGACTTTAACTAATAATATGAAAACATTAAACACAATTAGTTATTGGGGGTTAAAGGTCCTTAATAATTTTCATCCTTATGGTCCTTCCACCCGCTGACAACATTCACCAATCGTTTGTCAAAAGCTGCTTGCCAATGCGATCAACACCATCTACTGCTTTCGACTTCAGACCAATGTCATCTTCACCTATAGTTGCATTATCATCAAGTTGTTGCGACTCCTCCTCACCATCTATCAACACCTAATTAGGCCCCGACGTATACAGGCTAACTTTGTTGTTGCTTGCGGTGTTATGCTCTTCAATTCGGTTACCACCATCAGTCACATATGACCCACCACCACCACCAACAGCAACACCTCCGATGACTTTTCCAACAATACCCTAGATAAGGGTAACCAGTGTAGAATTGAGCCGTGTCATAACCTAACACAAATAATTGGATACATTTGTAGGCTTTGCATTGTTTCCAAAATATTAATCAACACATAATTACATACGAAAGATTAAAATCAACAATTTAAATGTACCTGCTGCATAACATTATAAACTACATCATTGTCCTCAACCGTTTCTTTAAGGCCTCCCCCACCTTTGCCACTCCCTTCCCTGGAAACCGTGGGATGAGGCTCACCATAAGCAATATCTATGGGCTACACAATATGTGAATTCAATAAGAATACAATCACAATTGATCAACTATAAAGTAAACTTTGGACATTTAATACAATAAATTCTACTTTGGACCTTAAATACACCAAATACTTATATTAATTTGCCTTACCAACAACCGACCATAATTCTCCCTTGAAACTCGATCATCAGCAACGGCGCCCCGAACTTCAAGATGATCTAGGTAGAAAATCTGCACCACATACACATAAACAATTAGTTCCACCATGTGTTATTTTATATAGCTACAAACAAACACTTCATAATAAGTAAAATTTGAGATTAAACACTTACCAGAAGGAACACATCACTACCACCACAACCAGATCGAAAACGGTCCCTTAAAAACTTTTTTTTTTTTAAATCGTGCAGCGGTATCACGAAGCCATGTCATCGTAAAAGACCACCAGTCATAATCAGTTGCTCTAGAGGCAACTGTCACAGCAGGAACTAGAGACGTTGCCATGTTAGAGCTATTTGTTGTTGTGCATATTAGTTTTCTAAGTACCACTATTATAAAAGCAGTCATGAAATCATCTTCATCTTGCTCATCCTCCAACTTCTCTATTTACCAAAACTTTCAATAGGACACATTACTTTTGAAGCAGCAGCCAAGGATATGGTATCCTTCTTAGCCCCAGCTTCATACATTTCAATGATCCTTTTTAGCTTCTCTAACTCCTCCACACAATCCATATCCATATGTGTTGGTACTGGATTAGGTCCCATAGGTATACCAAGTACTGAAGAAACTTGTTTTGAACCCAACGACAATATTCCTCCATCACCAAAAACCATAGTTCCATCACCTCTTACTCTAGTCATCAACCAATAACAGAACTGCCGTGGAATATTCTTCATATCCAAACTCAACAACCCTTCAAAACCCATCCTTCTAACTAACTGTCGCCGGTCATTGTCAAACTTCTCAACTTCAAGACAGAATGATTCCACTCTACACATGATATTCGGCTACTGCAGAATTAAAACACAAAACATTTAAGCACTACACAGCATACAGAACCAAACATCCACCCCAAACCACACATCCATACCAAACCAATTGAATGACAATTTGTGCACAAGTATTCAAAACAAATTATAGGTTCATATATACCTTCTCAACATTCTCAAAGTGTGTCTTTATCACCTCACCCCTAGCACACACTCTCTGTCCTTGGGCCTTTTCAACCTACATACATCAACCTAAGAAACCCAATCATATCAATTACTTGTTACATAAATCAACATCAAAATAAAACAGGGGTGTCATTATTCATATCAAAATACCTTTGCCATTTTCAATGAACCTTTAACATTATGTTCTGACTTCCTCTTCTTACTATCTCTCTTTAAGAACTGCATCAAAAGTCCCTTAAATATTTTAGAGCTAGATTGTTGATCTTCTTCCTCATCCACATGATGAACCTTAGTCATCTTCCTCCTCATACTGATCCTCACATTGATTATATTCCTTGCATTTCACGTTCTTAGCATTTGTTTTGTTCTTAGGGACAGGGGCAAGTCCTTTAGAAGATGATGCCTTTACAGGCTTCACAGAGCCCTAACACCCAAAACAAAAATTGCATATCACTATCAACCATCCAGGGCACAAAATTACACACATAATCATTTCACAAAATCATTCCCCTACCTGTCCCTAACTTAAATTTCGAACTATGGCTTTTTTCTTCATATTTTCTTCGCAATAAATACATTTAAGTTTCCAACCTACGTTTTTCAACATTGGCATAAACAATTCGCAAACCATCATAAAAATCAATTACCAACACCCAAAAACACAAAATGCAATTCCCCCGTATTGATTATAATATTAAAAAGTAACCATCAACCCAAAAACTGATGGGGAATACATACATTAAAATCAATACATCGTCAAGGGAAGAAATATTTGTCACCCTTTAATCGATTTGCGGAAAATTCAATTTGGGGAAAGTACGCCACTACAAACAATTAGAAACCATAAATTTTTATTCAGGGGGATAATTCGATTTATATTACGGATAATTTACATTCTTACAATTGGGGAACATACGAAACTTCAAATAATTGAAAAACCATAACATTCAATTCGCAAAATTTCTAATGCAATCACTGTCAAACCCTGAAATCGATTTCGGGATAATTCAAAATCAAATCAACCATTGTTAAACCCACACCCCATTTTCTATGTATCAGAGAATCAAACTTACTTGTTTGGAGGGTTCTTCAACTCGGCTAAAAGGGAGTGTTCTTCAACACCCCGACACGCCCACAGAAAACGACCAAATGCTGCAAAACGAGCTAGAATTTAGGGTAATGTATGACGACAGACAATGCGAGGGACTGAGGAAGGACGGTGAGCAACAGAGGAAGCACACCTGAGGAGAGAGAAACTAAGAGGGGAGAAGGGAATTTGAATTGAGCAAAAAGAAAATGTCAGCCAGCTTAACAAAGTTCTTTGTATATCATATGAGATACTAATGATATACGAAAACAAGTACATGAAAAAGCATACGGGGGTCAGAATAAGCAAAACGGATGCCTAGTTGGAATTCCACTAACTTTGCCAAGAGTGCTAGGACATTACCTGCTTGCCCTTAGTTACTATGAATTTATAAATGATAACTTTCCTCCCTTTAAAATTTCTCCCACTTTTTGTTTTGTTACATATAAAAATATAAAGTAGAATCCCTTATATAATAAACAAATGTTTTAAATGGACCCACTTGTAATTTTCTTGAACTACGTGCCTGCCCCAATGTCTCAAATATTATAAGACGGAGGGAGTATAAAGGTGGGATTATTTCCAGAATACGCAAAGGTGAAATTGTTTTCAGAAGATGAAATAAAGGTGGGATTATTAATTTCAATTTTTCCTATATAAAATCCATATATGAACAACTTCAATAGACCAAGACACCAACTGAAGGAAATAAAGTCTTATTCAATTCAAAAAGCTCAAGATATGTATTGACTATTACTAAAACAAAACGTTGCTGATGTCATTACTGCGCACATGTCACTCTCATAATAAAAATTTTCCCGCCTAAATGCAAGAATGATGTCATCTTTTTTTTATTTTTTGTTGTTTTTTTTTTGTGGAACTATCATATTTAATAATTTTGAAATTTGAATATTAGAAGATTTTACATTACAACTACAACCTATCAATTTATCCTTAAGAAAATAAAATAATTTTAAGTAGCACACTAATAAATAGACTCCTAAAAATATATATTAGACGACGTTGAACATGTATTATAAAAGTACAGATATTTTTTACAAGATGCATAATTATTATTTATATTTATCCACTCTTAAAAAAAATGTACAAATTATAAAATTGATTTTATATAAAACGGCACTATTCTAACCTAGTTTAGGCTAAAATATACCTTCTATCCTTGAACCGAACGGAGAGAGCTTGTGATCGATTAATGGCGGTGACAGCGTCGTCGTTAGCTATAACGCCTTTGATATTCTCAACCGTTTTTGAATGATTGAGTTCAATTGAAGTAATTATCGGAAATTTGAGGAGAGAGAAAAGGAAAACTTTTCCAGAAATCCTCAACCATGTCATTTCGCATGGTATCTAGAAGAATTTTACCTCATGTACTCAAGCACAATACGCAGTCCTCTAGTTCTCAGTTCCAGTAAGTATTTTGCTAATTTCAAAATTTATATTTGAATTTCTGCAAGTTAGATTTATTTTAATTAAATTTTGTTGATTTTGGTATAGGAAATTATTTCAATCAATTGGACCAAGTAGTTATGAAATTAGGCAAAAACTTAGATATAGTTCATGGTCAGGTAGAAATCATCAGATTATTCAACGATATCGTCTCGCTGCGTTTGAGCCAAGGCGTTATTTTGCATCCAATAATGTTGTTCAAGAGAAGAAGTCGCGAAAGATGTTGTATTATTTGACTGCATTGGTGTTTGGAATGGTCGGATGTTCATATGCTGCTGTCCCCTTGTATAGGAGATTTTGTCAAGCTACTGGTTATGGCGGTACCGTTCAACGCCGTGAGGTGAGACTTGTTTGATTTTGTGTTGATGTATGTTTCGGGGATTAATCATGTATACTATTTTGGAGTGTTCTGGAAAAAATGCATTGTTCAGAGAAAGTCCTGGATATTGTTTGGAGAAGAAAAACCAGTATAGGATTTGCTTACTAAATTACAAATGGCAAGATAAACAAAGACGAACTACAAATATATAATCTTTATTTGTTCATTATGCTAAGTGGTTAAGTGATCAGTATTTATTTTCAATCTTCCATTACCCATAAATCTTTAAGGCCTAAAATGAGGGTAACAAAGATTATGTAAAACTGGTATTAACATGTTCAAACATTATGGTTATTATGTTTGCATGAAATCTTATGTTAAAAGGCCTAAAGTTGTCACGTTATCAGTTAATACTAGTTGAAGATTATGATGATAATTGCTGTTTTACTGGAAGGTGATGAATTCAGCAAGTTAGCTCTTAAAAAGATTATACTTGCGATCCAACCCATTATTTTTTATATTTGGTGGATAAAGATCTCTAGCTAATTATGAACAGTGAGGGGTGAGGGGGAGGGGAGTGTCTTTACAATTGAAACAATCAGCTGAAGTTAATCCTGGTAATTGTATATGGAAACTAGTTGCCTTTGCTCCCTGAGTAACTCCATTACTTTTGGAATGATGAGTATAACTAATTGTGTTTGCTTTCGGTAGACAGTGGAAGAAAAGATTGCCCGGCATACAGAAGACGGCACTGTCACCAAGAGGTCAGGTTTCTCAAATTCTACATATACGTTGTTTCTTCTCAGCATCATATTTAAATGTTGTATGAAATGGTGAAGTTTGTAATATGAATGTTCACGTCAATTGTATGCCTTGAATATGAATGTGTTGTAACCCTGAATTGTTTGTTAAAGAAATAATTATTCTGTCCATGTCCCACCAAGAAATTGAATTTGTTGTTGATGAGGAATAGCTTCGTAGTGCCTCGAGAGAAGGCTTCTTGAAATGGTTGGGTGGGTTATTGACCGACTATCCAACTACTCCCTCCATCCCTAAAAGAACGACACATTTGAGCATTTTTCACGAGTATTAAGAAACTTAAATGGGAAGTTAAAGTATATGGGGAAGCTAATAATAGTACATTGAAAAGGTAAATTTACATGAGAATTGCAAAAAATTAGATAGAGAAAGTAATAAAAATACATGGAAAAAGAAAAATTTACACAGGAAAGCTAGTTGGAGTGTATTTTACTAGAAATGGGATGGACATTTTGGGACTAAAACTTGGCCAAATGGGTCGTTTTTTAGGGATGGAGGGAGTAGTATCTTGTAACGAACTAGTAAAGCTAAACAACTAAATTTCTCAAATAAGCAAGAAAATGAACAGATTTAGGGAAGCACGCAACTATTTCATTAATAAAGATAAAAAATTTCTTTCAAGGAGGCTTGAGGCCACCACTCTCACTCTGTTACTTGAGGTCACAACTCTTAAACACCCAAATGACTACAATATTCTGGCTACCTCGCAAGTTCCTCCCTCCCCTTTCTTATATGTACATAAACAGCCAAAAGAAGATAATGACTAAAGGCCAAAAGGTTGCAGCTGTTTTGACACTGCTCCCCTACTTCTTCCCTTAACGATCCTGCTGTCCTTTCTTACTCCTTGTGTATGTGATCAAGTCCTTGTGCTTGCTCAACGCATTCGTTACTTCTCTTCCCCCCCTATGAGAGCCACCTTGTCCTCAAGGTGGAAAGAAGGAAACCAGTCTTGAATCACTACAGCTTCTTCCCAGGTTGCCTCCAGCAAGGGCAATCCTTGCCATTTAATCAGTACTTCGAGTACTCAGGTCTGCTCTTAGACCCCTTGACTTCGAGCACGCTTTCGGGTTCTACCACCAACCCAAGCTCCTCAAATAGTTGGCTAGGAATGGTCGGATTGGCCACTTGATTTCTGAGTGCTCTCTTAAGTTGAGACACGTGGAAAATAGGATGAATTCGGCAAGTGTTAGGTAACTCTAGTTTGTAGGCCACCTTTCCAATGCATTGAATCACCTTGAAAGGGCCTATGAGCGCGGGGCTAGCTTTTCATATAGCCTCTTAGCAAGAGACTTTTGCTTCAAGTAGACCCAATCCCCTAGCTGAAATTCTTCCTCTCTTCTCTTCATAGCAGCATTAAATTTCTTCCTTTGCTGAGCTCGAATCAGGCTCATGTGCAAATCCTCGAGCACCCAATAGGGTATGACCTTTGCCCACTTTGATCAGTTTCGGGGGGTTCTCTCCCATACACCACTCGAAATGGTGTGAACCCAATGGAGACATGATGCAAGGTGTTATATGTATATTCTGCCTAATGTAACCACTTACCCCATGATTTAAGCTGCCATTCACGAAACATCGCAAGTATGTCTCTAGCTTCTTGTTTACATTCTTTGTCTGACCATCGGTTTGAGGATGGTCGCGGTACTCCTCTTAAGATCTTTGCCGTGCAACTTGAATAACTCCCTCCAAAAGATACTCATAAAATCACGATCTCGGTCTGACACTATGGATGTTGGAAATCCATGTAATCGCACAACTTCCTTAACAAACACCTTAGCAATTGTTAAAGCAATTGTTAAAGCACTGTAAGGATGCTTTAACCTGATGAAATGCACATACTTTGACAACCTATCAACCACTACCAAAGCAAAATCAATCCTCTTCGAACAAGGTAGATGTAACGAACTAAGTTATCTAAGCAACCAAACTACTCGGAAAAGCTAATTAGAAGAGATATTGGGGGAAACAGGGAGCTATTCATTCATTAAAAAGAGCAACTTTCGTACAATTCGAGGCTTGAGGCCACCACTCTCCTAAGTGTCTTCAGGACACCAATCTCTAGACCTAAATCCTAAATCACCACAATGCAAAGGAAAGAAAGGCAAGGGGAACAAAGGTTCGTCGTCTAAGACAAAAAGAAGAGTAAATCGAAAGCAAAGACTAAAAGGGTCTTGAATAAGAAGGAGGAGGTCGCGAAGCCCGATGGTGGTTAGGTGGCTGGATGATGCTTCGATGGAGGTATTGCCAGTGAAAGATGTTAGAAAGGAAGAGAAGGAGACGCATAAAGAGCAATTCAATCAGTGGCTTGAGGTAATTCATCGAAACTCACCTGTAATTTCATGCAATTTCGGGGTTTCTGGGTTGAACTTGGAATTGGAAAATTTGTGTAATAATGGTGTTTTTGATGATAATCTTGTGAATCCCACTCCCATAATGATGCTTTGCAATTCTTCTAGCCCTTGTAATGGAGTTAATGATTCCCTTAGAACACCAATTTTTCCCCCAATTCCTAATTGCTTTGTCTCTCTGGGAATAAATGTTCTGGGTCTAAAATCTGGGAACTGCATGGAGAGATAAAGTTGCTAAGGTGTCGGATGAGGGTTTGTTCTTCCAAGAGCATTCAATGCGTCCTCAAGATGCTGCTGGGACTAGGGGAATGTTGCAATTATCTTTGGAAGATGTTGCTTCGAAAGTGGATTATTGGAACTGGGCTGTGGTTTGTTATGTAGTTTGTGGTAAACCTTCTATGAATGTATTCTCTGGTTTCATTAGAAGGAATTGGGGAAAATTTGGCATTGATAAGATTTGCTCGAGTGATAATGGTGTTTTTCTTGTTCGATTCCATGATGTGAGCAGCAGGGAGAGAGCAATTGGTAATGGCCCGATATTTTTTAATAAGAAACCAGTTGTTGTGAAAAGGTGGAGGTCTGGGATGAATCTGAAAGAGAATGTTGATTCTGTTCCCGTTTGAATTCGATTGCCAGGTCTTAATTTGAAGTTCTTGGGGCAACATGCTCTTTTGAAGATAGCCAACTTAATTTGTAAACCTATTAAAACTAACAGGGCAATAGGTTTATTGAATATGCCAGGATTATGGTAGAAGTTAAGAACTAATTGCTTATGCCACTAAAGAACTAATTGCTTATGCCAGGATTATGGTAGAAGTTAAGATCAATAGTGAGATGGTGGAGTCTATTGAATTTCTTGATGAGGTGGGACTTGTTATTAACCAGCAAGTAGTGTTTGAATGGAAGCCTATTTCATGCCCTATTTGTAGAGGTATGGGGCATGATAAAAGCCAATGTCCTAATGTCAGAATAGTAAAGGAAAGGAAAGCAACATAGAGAGTCATGGAGACCAGTGCAAAGGAATGAGCCACCTAAGTTATCTGTGACAGGTCTTAATTTTGTTGTCTTAATTTTGCGGAACAATACAATGGCAGGAATGATCAGCAGATGCAAAGCTTCAGTAATAGAGAAAGACTCAGGGGATATGATAATATTGGCTTATTCAAGGATACTGTTGTGTATGGAAGTGTGTGGGGGCGGGGGGGTTGTGTTTTCCTATTTCTCACATGGATAGTTGGGGATTTTGGAATATTAGGGGCCTAAACTATCTAAGTAAAATTTGTGATGCTCTTCATTTTCTCAATACTCAGAATATTGGATTGTTTGGGCTCCTAGAAACCAAAGTAAAGGCTGCTAATATTGGTAAGGTCTTTACTAAATTTGGAGGGGATTGGTCTATCGCTGCTAATTACCCTAAGATTGGTGGGGGTAGAATTTGGTGTATTTGGAGACCTAGTATTTTCAAAGTTAGTGTGATTAAGGTGGAAGCTCAGTGTAAGATATTTCATAAAGCTTTTGGTATTGAATTCTGGTTCACTTTGGTGTATGGGTTGAATGAGGCTGTGAAAAGAGAGTTGTGGCAGAATATTTGTGATTTCAGTATTGATATAGATGGTCCTTGGGTAGTGTGTGGTGACTTCAATAATGTGCTAAATTTAGAAGACAGGATAGGGTCAACTGTTTCTTTAGGTGAGGTTGAAAATTTCAGATCGTGCTTGAGACAAAGTAACTTGTCTGACCTTAAAACAGGTGGAAAGTTCTTCACCTGGAACAACAAACAGAAAGGGTTGGATAGGGTATGTTCTAAGATTGACAGGGTCGGGTCCTGGTGAATGAGGATGTAGTGAACATGAGGGAAATGTTAGAAAACCTTTTAAATTTTTTAATCATTGGGTTGATTATCCTGGTTTTCAGAAGCTGGTCTGTGATACTTGGAAGGTGAGATACTAGGGTTCCCGTATACTTGAAAGAAGCTTTGAAAGAGTTTAGTAAGCAACATCCTTATGATGTTCTAGCTGTTCTAGTTGAGGATGACAGATTGGCTCATGAGCTTAGAAAGGTGCAACAACAACTTGATACTGATTGAAGCTAGGCAGGCTTTTAATGTGAGTCACCAAAAGAAGCTTAAGTTCTTAAAACAGAAAGCTAAGCTGCACTGGATGAAGGATGGAGATTCTAATACTGCTTTTTTTTTATGCTTGTATTAGGAAGCGAAGAATCCAGAATAGAATTTGTAGTATTCAAGGGTTAGATGGCAATATTGTGCAGGATCCGGATGAGATGAGATTACTGATGCTTTCTTGGAGTTCTATAAGAATTTGTTAGGTTCTTCTTCTCCTCCTGTTAATACTATTCATCAGTAGGTTATTAGTGAAGGGATGGTGCTTAACAAAGCACGATGGGTTCTCGAGTCAGTTTTTTAAGGCTTCATGGGAGATTATTCAGGAGGACCTTTGTAAGGCTGTTATGGATTTCTTTGCTCATGGAAAACTATTAAAACAAGTAAATACAACTGTAATAACTTTAGTTCCTAAAGTTGAGAATGCTGCAACATATAAGATCATCTCTAAGCTGATCTGCATGAGATTGAAAGAGGT